CGGACGGACGGACGGACGGACGGACGGACGCTGGGCAGCTTCGGGGCCGCGGCGCAGGTCCAGCAGCAAGTTAAAAATATATATATATATACCTGTTTTTAATTTATTCTCCTCACGGCGACAGGTCCGGGCCTGGCCGCGAGCGAACTGAGGCCGCGGGCGGGGGCTTGGGGTCTGGTGGTGGCCTCGGCGCCGGGTCCCCAGGTCTGCGCGCCGTTTGTCCCCCAGGTCTGCGGGCGCCCCGGCCCTGGGTCTGCAGGTGGCGGGAGGACGCTTCCGCGCGTCCCGCGCAAAAAAAAAACCAAAACAAAAAAAACGTTTAAATGTTACGGCGGCGGCGTCTAAACCCTGCGGCGTCGGGTTTTGTTTTGTTTTTTTCGTGTTTTTTTTTTTTTCTCTTTAAAGAGGCCACCGCTTTTGTTGGGATAAATCCTGATAAATAACTTTTTAATTTTCATTTATTTATTTATTTGCTTTAAAGAGGCCACCGCTTTTGCTTGGATGAATCCTGATAAATAAACTTTTTTCTTTTTCTTCTTATTTTTTGCTTTAAAGAGGCCACTGCTTTTGCTGGGATGAATCCTGATAAATAACTTTTTTTTTTCTTTCTTCTTCTTCTTATTTTTTGCTTTAAAGAAGCCACTGCTTTTGCTGGGATGAATCCTGATAAATTTGTTTGTTTGTTTGTTTTAAAGAGTCCACCGCTTTTGCTGGGGTGAATCCTAATAATTTTTTTTCTTTTTCTTTCTTTTTTTTGGCATTCCTAAAAGAATGCGATGTGAGCCCTCCTTTGATTTCTGGGCAGACTTTAGTGTCACCTAGAGGAGGAGGTCTTACGGTGGCCCCTCAGCAGCCAGTGGGACTGGCTCCTGCTGCAGTTTAAGTGCTGGAGGGAGCTGGGGAGACGCTCACTTGGCGCCACCACCGCTGCTCCTACCTTGGGAGCCCCTGGTGACATCCCGACACCTGCGAAACTTAATGGGGAACCTCGTTGGTCCCTGTCAGTCCTCCAGGATAGAAATGGATTTAGCAACTGGTTAGAATTCACTGGTTAGAAATACTAACCGACGTGGAGCAATTGGCGTGGCGTGGAGGGTTATTCATATTTTTTTTAATTTTATGTCTCTGTCATGCATCAGTCCGGCCCACACCCCAGGCCCCTCACTCACATTCCTGCACCTCAGCATCATCAGTGTGGAAAGGAGGGTGATCCCAACCTATTGGGTGAGAAAAGCCCTATAGGTTCTCCCATGGGATCAATAAATAACTGATGTTTAATAAGCCATGCTCTTATCACTTACGAAGGCTTATGGATAAATATAAATGGGAAGACAATTGAAAAGTTCGGTTTGTCGGTGAAATTGAGCTGCAGTTGCACGGCAGGGTGAGGGGCAGAAGTGTCCTCCAGCTTTTCGTATGTGGCTTTAGAGGTTATTTTGACAGTGGCCGTTAAAGAGCTGCCCTAAAGGTTCCGGGAGGTAAATTACTTGCAGGAGGAGCACGCTTTACCCCAGGGTGAGTTTTCACCTCTACAGATGTCACTGGGAGGAAGGAGTGACTTTTCTCAGAAACAGCCCTGTTTAAAGAGAATTAGAAATACCCCAGCTAAGGTGAAAGCTCAGCGCCGAGCCACTCGTCTTTTTTATATCTAACATCAAGATTTACGGAGCCACTAAATTTTTAAAAACTTAACCTTCTTCCGAGTGTTCTACTACGGATTTCTAATTTTACTCATTCAGATATTCTGTTTTTCATGACTCATCTAAGAGATTGTTACGTTGGTTCTGTGCAGAAGGGGCATCTGGAAAAGTTTTAGCTTCTTTTCCCTTTTAAATCGGTTTCTACCTGAAAACCTTACTTCCTCTTATCTTGTCATTCTTTGAAGCCCTTTTTCCTAATTCTGGAAATTCCAACATTCCAGTGTGGCCCCATTTCTCTACCCGGACATACGCCTGTTTTATCCCCGAAAGGGATTGGTCTGAGGGGCCGTCTGGTATCCTGGTGAAGTACGCGAAGAGGGTGGGTACAAGCAGAGCGCAGACCTGTGTCGCCAGGGTCCAGCTTGGGGCCTTCTCAGACTTGATGGAGTTGGAAGCAGACGGACTATGGCTATTGCCATCCACACGTGGACTCGTTATTATAAACCCACCTAATAATGTATCGCAGGAGGACTCTGCCTTGGGGGGATGATAATTTCACTTAGCTAATGTGAGAGAAGAGAGAGGTAGAGAAATAAAGTGTCGTGAAAGCCAGGTCCAAGCAGCCCTGTGTCGAGAGAAACAGCTGTCTCAGGTAAACTCAAGTTCAGGCTGCTTTTTTTTCTTTC